AAATGTAACGCAGGGAATTCTGGGAATGTCAATTTACGGTTATTCACTGTAAATTATACAGTCTTTTTTAACTTCCAAAAACTGTATACTACCGTAAAATTAATGTCCAATACATGAAATGTCCAATACAGTTTTTCACCGTATATAGTAGGGAATTTACCGTTAACCATTTAACAGGTTTTTACTGTAACATTTTTACAGTCTTTTACCGTTAAATTCACTGTCATTTTTTACAGTATATATATGTATAAGATATATTCCTTGAGATACAGTAAATATTGTTTTGAGGTGTTAGTCAATTACATTACGTCATCTTAAGCTAAATGAATACGAATGATGACAATTTCCATTTTTAGGTGATCTAAGACTTAAATATTTCTAAAATTTAATATTTCACTTCAGTTGTTTACTATACAAAATCATGGTAAGAAAAACAAGTTGACAAGAAATAGCAAGCAACACAATGAATTTAAAATGCTGAAGTAAAAAGAAGAAAATAGTATTTATAAATGGTTTACAATTACAAACAGTGATGGCTTTTTTAAGATTGTCCCTTATTGATAATCATAATAGATGAAATTGATGTTTGTTTGTTTTTTAGTGCATTTTATTATTTGGAAAAATTGTAATGAAAGTCAATTAAAAATGCTAGCTTTTATTTGCATATCATATTCTCATTAAAATAAGCATATTTATTAATATGGCAAGGAGAAAACAGTCGTTTTGTCCTCAACTAAAAAAAAAAGTTTTGTAGAAGAGGAAAGGACACAAATGGCACTCACTCTGTAGAATAACTGTGAATTAATTGCTTTGAGTTAATATACTGAGCTTTGTCGGGTGCATAGCGAACTCTTTAGTTTACTCTGCTTTTGGATGGAATTGAATCTCTCTCATTCTAGCACTCCCTGAAATACAATATTCCTCTCACTTCCTTCTTTTTGGGATAGGTCTTCCCAACACAGACATCCATGTCTCTTACAGCTGTTTCACATATGTATTACTCACCAACCTCTTCACAGCTGGAACAACAATTGACCATACTGACACACAGATTAATATGTCAGCAATCAGGAAGAGCTAACATTTACATTAACTGTGCCTGAACTCTCAGCTGACGAGTTGATGTGGGATGTAATGTGTGAAGAATGTTAATTGCACATCTTGCTCAGAGGCTCTGGTAATGAGACAGCGAGTTATAGCAGGGATTACAGCACTGATGCTGATCAGAATGGAAATGTTATCTTGCTTAATCAGACAGCCCAGGCACATTTTACCTTCTCTCTCTGTCTCGCACTATTCAGATGCTAAGTTGCAGCCCTTCTCATGGGGTTCTCTGTAAGTCTGTTCCAAAACTCAGTGAGCTGTCTTGCTGTTTACTGTCTACATAGACAACTCGCACTTTCCACTAATGCTGTGCCACTTTTTATTTATTTATTTTTTTAATTTATTATTATTATTTTTTTTAGACCATTAGAGGCCCAAATTCCATGTCTTTGGGTGCTTTTGACCTGTCTCACCTTAGCGGTCTTGACCCTTCCAGCTGTATCCAACAATTCAAATCATACAGCAATGACATTATGCCTGTAAAAAAAAAATAATAATAATAATGAAAAATAAACACACACATTTTGCATGCTACCCTGTTACCATAATTTTAGCCTTATTATATAAATGATATAAGTTTTTTTTTTAAAGTTATTGTAAGAAAAAAAGCAAATATTGTAATTTAGTAAAATATGATTTCCATTATTTATACTATTATTTAAAGAAGGTCAAAAAGGATTAATGCAATGCTAGTAACTGACAGACCGAATTTGACAGACCAAGGTATGACAAAACCTTCAATAACACTTAACAATAAGGTTAAGTGTTATTGAAAATTAATGCATTAACTAACAATGAGCAATACATTTGTTACAGCTTTTATTCCTCTTATTTATGTTAGTTACAGTTTTTTACGATTGCTTAAGCACAATTTTGAAAACAGGGCCCGGTTTGTCAAAACACTACACACAATTAACACAACCCTACACCAAAGTAGCACAACACTTCAGTTGCTTGTAGTTCTCTGAGTCTGATAGCATTATTGGCCAAAACCATGTTTATTATCTCTCTCTCTTGTTCTTGCGTGAATATGGGCCCCCTTCCTCCTTGTCGTTCCCGACCCTCAATCCTATGTAGAGAATAATACATGTAACTTACTGTACAATGTCACAGGAAGGGGTATCACAAGTGCTGATATGGTGCATACAATAAGCGGCTGATTACTGTAACTGTAGACAGATCTTCTTTTACCTGTTTTCCTGTCGAAAAGTCCTTATGACAGATGCCACTGTATATCTGCTAAGATTTGGCTGAACTCTCAGTCCAGCCTCCCTCAGCGTCAATCCGTGGTTCACAACATGGTCCACTAGTGTTGCACGAATGTCATTTGATAAGTTTGGTCCTCTTCTTCTTTGTGCACGTTCTCCTCCTGCTTCAGGTCTTCCTCGGCCTCTGCCTCTTTCTCCTCCTCTGTGTACTCCTCCTCTCACCCTCACTCTTCTTCTGACTCCTTCCATTTTGGTTGAAGGCAGGTGAGCCTACCTGCTGCATTTTTATAGTGCTTAAACCTGATTGGTGTGTCTACAATTTAGCAATCATGTGTTTGTGCACCTGATGGCTGTGTTTAACAGATTGGCTCATAGGTGTGGTAATTTGACAGTTAGTGCTTTGGAATTGCAAGGAAGTGACATCATGATTTACTTCTGTGTCTGATGTATACAAGTGTGTTTAGTGTTTTGCAAATCACTGTGTGTAATGTTTTGCAAATAGTGTGAAGCTGACAATGTGCTTACAGTTGTGCAAATCTAGCCTTGTGTTTTGCTCCTTGAGTGTAAGGTTTTGCTAATTGTTGGAAAAGTTTAATTTTAGTGTGTAAGCAATCGTAAAAAACTGTAATAAAAATGCAACTGTTCATAGTTAATGTTAGCACTGCTAGATCTGTGCATATTTCTGTCCTGATTCAGATGAGACGGCTTGAGAAATTTCACTGGAGAAAGCAAAATTATGGAGAGAAGACTTGTATTTTAGCCGTTAGCAACGGCATATAGTTTAAAACATCTTACAGTTTTTCTCGATTGCTTAAACACATTTCTTGAAACTATGCCTCATATTCTCAAAACAGTAAACACAAATCCATAATGTCTCACCCAATTCCCCAAACATCCTATTTTCAGGTCAAAATGAAGCTCTACACTCAAAACCATTCACT